GTGGGTGTTGGGGTGGGGGGGGAGGTTTGTGGGGATTTCATGTCATCATTAAATTCTTGATTCCAGGGGTGTTACATTCCACCGTCGGCTGTGGTGGGATTTGAACCCGGGTTCGTTCCCCAGATTAATATCCAGCGATTATACCACTGGGCCCTGAGCTCCCCTTGTTCTAGCTGTGTGTGAAGGTTTCTGCCTAAGACCGGGGTAGGCAGGGGTGAGGTATAAGTGATATCTGACTGGCTGACAGTGATACAGTCAGGAGGCAGGCAGAGGTGTGTGTGTGTGTCTGTAGCCGCCTGTCCCCTTCTCACTGTGACCACCCTGGCACACCCCCAACCCGCCCCCGATCGAAGTCCGGGAGATATCTGAGCTAAACTGCTGCGTCCAGACCCATCCTTCTGACCCTTGTACTTTGCTGTTGGTAAAACACCCTGCTCTTTCGCAGCGAACTCCGGAACTGAGGCTGGTGCCGTGTGGCGTCGGAGCAGCCTAGTGAAGCTTGTGGAAGTTTAGTTGTCGTTTGGTGTATGTGGGTGGGGACAGTGTACGTGCCGAGCATCTCAAGCCCCGACACGTTCCCCCACTTTGGAATCGTGAGACAGTGAGCGGTGGGGGGGAGCAGTTACAAACGCACACAGATTCCCTGGAGAAACACATCTTGTGCGGAGAGAGAGAGAAACCATAACTCGCATCCTTTTTTACGTTTGCTTTCTCCACTGTTGACGTCCCTTCTTGTCTTTTGCACTGAGCCTCCACATCAGTGCCCCGCCCCCACTTTGCCACTCCTGCCTCCATCAAAAGTATGAATAAAAAATAACCCATTTTCCCAACCCCTTTCAGCTCTAAGGAAGATCCCATCGGTCTCGAAACATTAAGTCTGTTTCTCTCTCCACGGGTGCTGCCAGACCTCTGAGTTTCTTTAGCGATCTGTGCGTTTATTTCGGGTCTCCAGCATCCATCAAGGAGCAGTTACTGTCTCCCTCACCTGAGGCTTTGAGTCATTTGGAAGGTGCTGTGTCTGTGGAAAGGACTGTTCCAGTGTAGGCTTTTGCCCCCACCAGAGGTTTTGGGGAGAGTAACTACTCTTTTCCTCATCCCAGAGACCACTTGTGGCAGACCGACATGGTGCTGAATCAGTAGCTGCAGCGCAGTAACGTTTGAGGTCCTTCTCTCGGTTCTCAGACTGTTTCCTAATTCACTAGTAGAGGCAATGCCCCGATCACCAAAACAATGGCTTCCTGCTGCCGTGTTTCTCCAAGGCAGTGTGAAACCTTTTACTCTTGCACACAAATAGAAGTGCTGATTCACCATTCTTGTGTCCAACTCACACTGTCTTTTGCATTTTGGAAGAAAATGGATAAGTTATAGCACAACCTGGTATCTGTGTCACCTTTTTGGGGACTCAGAGTCTTGGAGTCTGCCCATTGTGAACTCAGGAACCTATTGCCCTCAACTGTGGATAGCTTAAAGTTCAGAAACAACACAATCTGATCGTTGTAACGGAAGAGAGAGACCTGCCTTGACTGTGTCACTAATAAATGTAATCTGTTAGCTACTGACCATTTCTACTGTGCTGCTAAGTCTTCTCTCTCTCGATCTTTTGCAGGACTACTACAGTAACTATTATCAGGACCCAGACCCTGCTCTCGCTCCAGCGCCAGACGAGGAGTTGAACACGTTCATGAACGATGAAGCAGTAAGTGTGGGGGAGAAAGGGCAACCAGAGGAGTGGGACAAACCGAATTGGTCATTCAACATAATGCCTAGGC